CTTGAATGCTGGGGTCCTATCTCGTTCCTCTTTTAAATGGGCTTATCTCTTGACTCAGCAATTTTGTTACACCAGAGGGAGCCAGGTAGTTATCCACGTACTCCAAGGTGTGCACAGCCTCCCCTCCCTCACTCTGGCCTGTCCCATGTGTAGGCAAACTTGGGGGTCCAGGAGCCCAAGGGAGCTCTATTGCTCATCCCACCTCCAACCACCCCACAGGTGGTCTCAATGGGATCTTAATTTTTTTTTTTTAGAGAGAGGAAGGGAGAGAGGGAAACACTGATTTGTCGTTCCACTGGTTTATGCATTCATTGGCTGATTCTTGCATGTGCCCTGACTGGGGATGAACCCACAACCTTGGCATATCAGGAGGATGCTCTAACCAACTGAGCTACCCCACCAGGGCCTCAGATGGATCTTTACCCTTGCCCTCCATAGCTCCTCAGGTGCCCCCACCCACTCTGCCTGTGTCCCCCATGCTATCCCCTGCCCTGAGGCATCTAGAAACACTTGCATGTTCCAACCCCCAGGTCCATGCTGGTCCTCCTTTCTGAACCACCCTCCCTCAACCCTCCAATCACCTTTTTGTAAAAGACTGCTTCCTACCTTCCAAGGCCCAACTCCATGTCTGCACTGCCCAAGCCCGAGAAATGGCTCCGACTGTAAGTTAAGCAGAGCGTTTGTTGAGTGCAGATCACCAATTTGAACAGGGATGTGGAGAACACAGAGTATTGGTCTTAGCACTTAAAAGGTTTGTTCCCCCTCTCCCATGCCACAAAGATCCAAAGCTGATTGGTTCCGGCTGGCTGTTGAAGCCTCTTTCCCCTCTTTTCAGCCCAGCGCCCCACAGAGGAACCTTTTCGGTAAAATCCAATGCCTTGTACCCGCCACGAGCGCACACAGTCACAGATGGTGGACAAAGAGGGGAAGCGTGCACATCGCAGGCTTCAAAGTCAGCCCGTCCCTGGAATTCAGCACCTCCTCTTCTGTAGTCACCGAGACGTAGGGCTGACTCCTCCAGGGGTGGGGAGAGGGCAGAATCTGACAGGCGTTTATGTGAGGTGGGGCAGGCTAAGTGGCCCTGCCCAGAGCACCATGCTACCCACATGCCAGACCCAGTTAGGGTTTGTCCTCCATGCATCTTTGCAGTCCTTGACGCATCATCTCTAGTAAAGTAGGGGCTTTGGGAACCCAGTTTCCAGGAGAGGGACATGGCATTATAGAAGCTCCCCTCCTCAGGGCTTCTGTGGCAGGGGGTGCACTGGGGGGCCAGGGGCAAGAGCAGCAGGAGGCTGAAGGGCTGGGAGGGAAGTGTATTTGGGGGCAGAGCCACCAGAAACCCTGGGTGGCTTTGATGTGGAGAAAAGGGAAGAGGGGGCCATGGGCAATTTACAACCTCTAACCTGGATGGGGGCAGTAGGGGACCCCACACCTGTGCTGGGAGGCTTGCAGAGAATGCAGGGGGTGTGGGGTGAACTCGGGGCCTCTGTAGGGCACCCAAGGTAGACTGGGGAGTCTCTTACCAACTCAGACTCGGGTCCTAAATCCTCTCCACCTGCTCCCTTGTGCCCCTGCCCACCCTCAGAGGAGGGGTGAACCTCTGCCCCCACTCCAGCCCTAGACAATGAACTCAGGGATCTGTGCTGTGCATACAACCTCCGCCACCCCCAGCAGCACGGGCATGGTGGTCACCTTGAGGGTGCAAATTCTCCACCTGGGTTACCCTTCTGGGGATCCCCTCCTTCTGGTCATAAGAACCCTGGCCATCTGCATAAGGGTGTATGAACTTCGCAGTCACAGCTCCCCAAACAACCAGACTCAGGAGCCCTGGGGAAACTGAGGCACAGCCAGAGAGGGTCTCTCCTCAAGCTCTGGATCTCACCCTTGCGATGGACAGGAAGCCAGGACAGTCTCTGAAGTCTGTGCCCGCAATCTAAGCTCGCAGTGTGGGGTTCATAAAAACGTGACTGCTTTCAAAGGCTGGGGGAACCCTAGGGCCTGTGTATGTGGTTCTGTGTCCCCCATCATTGGGAGGCTGCACTTTTGCCATCTGCCATTAGGTGGCGCCCACTAATGTGTTTTGGATTCTGTGCTCCCCACGCAACATTTTAGAATAGATATACTAGTAGGAATGAATAAATAAAATCCATCTTGGCTTCCAGGGGCCACCCATGATTTTAGGCTCCCAGCCTGGGGACCCAGGCTATGTCATGTGTTGTGTGTGTGTGTGTGTGTGTGTGTGTGTGTGTGTGTGATTATACACATACAGCCTGTGGTGTCCTAGCCCATGAAGGGACAGTGGGCAGGCTACTGGGTTCCAGAAACACTTCCGGGTCCAGGCCCCAGATATGCCCCTGTGGCTCTGTTGGGAAGGAAGTAGGGAAGGTTGTATGGAAGTGTCCTACCGCTAGCCTTGCTAAGGACACCCTGACGACATCAGCCAGGGCCAATTTTACAGTCAAAGGGCCCCGAGTTCCCACAGGAGCTCCATCACTGGTCGGAAGCACCATGGGAATTGTGTCCTGGGCACAAACACTGTGATGGAAGTGGGATATCTCAGAGGTGCATGTTTTAGAGCGCCGTGGTGAAACGGTCAGTTTGGAATGAGAGTGTGGGCCTCAGTGTGGTCAGAGAAGGTGGGACATTAGTGTGAACGGCATAGGGAGCATCCAGTGAGGATCAGGGGACATAGACTACCCAATGGAGAGGACAGAGACCAAGGAGTGTCCAGTG